GAACCGCACTGAGGTCACCGAGTGCAGCCCGCACCCGGGCAGCTCTTTCAAAGCACCCCAGCTCCAGCAAACTGGAGCTCAAACACCTTCCTCTTAATGCCTGAAATACTTTCTGCGGGTTAAGGCTGCCTGGGGCAGCTGAAGGAGTTGGTTTGCCAAAATGCAAGGTTTGTAAAGGTGCTGCCCCAGGGCCTCACCCCTGCTCCTGCCTGGCAATGCTTTGCACCACCCTCGCGGAAACCATGCTTTCCTCCCAAAGAGCACGGTGGTGCTTGAAGTTATTAAAAAAACCCCGCATTTTTTTGGTCGACATTTTTACGTCACGTGGGGAAACCTCCAGTGGAAACACTCCCATAAGGCTACAAAGAAGCTGGGAGAGCACACAGTGCTGCATCCCCTCGGGGAGCACCTTTAGGGGCTCAGAGCCTCACCTTGTAGTCATGCTTGCCCACATCCCCGTCCTGGTCCGCCCAGGCAGCAATGGGCCAGGCAGCCCCATCTCCATGGGGCACGGTGACTGGAGGGGCATCCCTGTGCTGGGAACTCCTCCCTGTGCCCGGCTCAGCTCGGGGCCCAGCGCGGTGCTTACGTGTCCGGGCGGTGAGGGTGGTGGGGACGGCGGGCTGCTGCGCATAGCGGGGTCGGAGTGTCACCACGTACTCGGTGTCGGGGCGCAGGTTGCCCAGCGTGGCCGACTGTGCATTGGCCCCCAGGCTCTTCTCCTCCCCCTGGGCTCCTCCTGGGTGGGAGGCAGAGGGATAAGGGTGGGCACAGAGGCACGGCACGCACCCGGCCTGGCAGGGAAGGGGTGTCTGCAGGCCGGCACCCTGCCCCGGGGATGCCAGGCAGTGCCAGGGGTGGGGAGCACGGGGAGAAGCTGGGACGGCGGCCAGGCAGGGGCACCCCCCGGAGCGCCCGAGGCCAGGGAGGGGCTGCCAGGTGTGTGGCTACAGACCAGTGCCTGGCTGGGACGGGGGTCCGCCACCCGCCCCCCACATGCAGCAACTATGGGGCGCACGCATGCCTGCACTCCCAGCCCCGGGCTGGGGCACACACCAGGCCCCCAGCCGTCACGCACACCCAAGCGCACACCCTGAGCCCTGCGCCCCAAAGCCTCTGGGTGTAGGAACATTCGCGCCACCTCCACGCCTTTGCACGCAGGGACCATCCCCTCACCTTGCACGGCGTAGCTGAGGCCGTAGCCCTGGGGGGGCTCGGGGCCGGGCTGCCAGGCCAGCCGCAGGAACGTCGGTCCAGTCTCCACCACGCGGAAATCCAGCACGGAGCTGACACGGGTCTCTGGGGGCACACGGAGCCAGGGATGAGCCCCCAGCCCCGTGTGCCACAGGCACCTAGTGCCTGCCCGCGTCCCTGTGGGCATGGACACTCACGGGTGCGTGCTCGGCCAGACACCGACTTGCCGATGCTGTTGGCGTACTGGGCGGTGACAGTGACCAGGTACTCCGTCCCCACGCGCAGTCCCCGCAGCACAGTGCTTGTCTCCCGCGGCCCCAGGCTCACCTGGGCAGGGACAGTGTCACCCTCTCGCTGTCCCCAGGCCACGCATGGGGCCACCAGGAACCCCCAGGGGCTCTGAGCAGGCAGGTGGGAGCACTCACCTCCTGCCTCTCTGCCACGATCGGCTGCCCCAGCCCCGTCAGCGGCACGCGCTGCACCCGCTAGCCAGTGACGGGGCCACTGGCCGCCATCCAGCGGATCCGCAGCTGGTCGAGGCCCTGCTCCAGGATCTCCAGGTTGGAGGGGCCGGTGTGGCTCGGCCCATCTGTAGGGGAGCACAGGGGCTGTCAGCTCCAGGGTGCGTGGGGCAGCGGGGAGAGTTTGCCGGGGTGGCACAGCCACGTGCCCGGCGGGACGGGATGGCCAGGGCATTTTGGGGAGGATGGGTGCTAAGGGCGCACCCAGGGTGAGCACATCCTGGCACCCAGCACCACCGGCACCCATGCCCCACAGGGAGGAGGATGGAGACCCATACCCAGCAGGCGCAGGGTGCCCCCGACGCTTGTGCACACCCTGCGTGTCATCAGCGGCACCAGCGTCCCCAGCAGCTTGAAGTCACCGACGTAGAAGAAGAAGGCATCGGTGGGCATGGAGGCCACGCGGATCAGCTCCTTGTGGTCGGCGTTCTTGACCCCTGGCAGGGATGGAGATGATGGGCGAGCGCAGGGACCCTGAACCCAGCAGGAGACCCCCTTGCCTGGCGCCGAAGCCTTGCTCACCCACAGCAAAGACCTTGATGCCCTGGCTCTTCAGCTTCGCTGCCGGCCCCTCGGCATCATCCTGGGACTTGCCATCCGTGATGAGGATGCAGATCTGCGGGCCAGGCGAGAGCCGTGAGACCCAGTCCGGGGCCCATGGACCCACCGCATCCCCCCCGGGTGTCCCCAGGGCCACTGCCCTGCACGTACCTGGGGGACCCCGGGCCGGAGCTGCGTGGGGCCGAAGAAGTTGTCAGCGACGTAGCGGAAGCCGGCACCGGTCCGCGTGTTGCCACCCTTGTAGGTCAGCTGCTGGATGGCCCTCCGGACACTTGCGCCATCGGTGTGCTGGGAGAAGGAGAACTCCACCCTGGGGGGCACGGGGGGACACGTCACCTCCTGGCCCTGCCGCCCCACCGCCCCGCATGCCCCCTTCCCGGGGCTCACCGCGGCTCGTCGCTGTACTGCGCCACGGCAAAGCGCACCGCCTTCTCGCCTACCACCTGCACAAAGGGCCCCACCAGGTCGTCCATGAAGGTGCGGACGGCGCGGAAGTTGTTCCTGCCGATACTGGACGAGCCGTCCACCAGGAAGGCGATGTCGGCCTCCAGCACGTCTTCGCACACTGCTGCGGGGCAATGACAGCACTCAGGGCATGGACCGGCACCACGGCACAGTGGTGCTGGGCCCCTCTCGGTACCCCCCTCCACATGCACCCGGTGCTCAGCACCCACCTTGGCTCCTCTTCTGCGCCGTGGCAGCCGGGGGGCCCAGGAGCGTGGGGAGCACGGCAAGGAGCAGGAGCCGGCCGCTCATCATGGGAGCCTGCGGGAGAGGATGCTGCCACTGCCGTGCCACACCAGCCCCACACCTCTGATACAGCGGTGACAGAGCGGCAGGGCCCAGGAGGTCCCAGTGCCACGCCGTGCCTGGCAGCCTTGGGAGGGCGAGGTGCCAGCGCCGCCCTGGGCACCGCCACGGGCACCCCACGGTGCAGGGGAGAGCCCCCGCTTTGGGCTGGGGCAGGGAGGCAGCGTGGCTGTGCCGGGCCGTGTTACCGCACGTCCCCCGTGCCAGAGGAGCAGCCGGCAGCACGCAGCGCCTGTGCAGCATGCCGGATCTGCCGGCTCACCGAAAAGTGCCGGGTGGGCAGCAGCTGGCCTGTGTCTGGCCAGGCAGGAGCAGTGCCGGTGGCTGCCCCACGGCACGGCACGGGCT